AGGTGGTGGAGGGAGTGGGGGAAGGTTGGCCCGCACGCTATGTGCAGTCGTCGGCGTGTTGTGCAACGAGGCGCTGCCTGGCTGGGGCAATGGGCGAATGGGCGTAACTGCCCTGGCAGAGTCCTGGCCGTCGCGAATGATGCGGGGCAAATCCGGAGACCCGCCAGTGGGCGTCAGATGAAGCGGGGCGGGGCGGCCACTCTCGAGACGGCGAGGGTGCGCACGAGAGCCCTGTGCTAAATCTCCGTTCATGCTTAGTGAGTGTTCTGACGAGCGAGGGTGGTTCAGTATCGACGTGAGGGCGGTAGTGGTAGAAGAGCATCTCTGCCTGAGGGACTTGACCGCGTTCAGGATCCTGAGTCTGTCCCCGACGCTAGTCAACCCCATCTCCTTGAGCGTAACCTGATCCAGCTCGAGGAGCACGTCGCCCCGGATATCATTTTCTCTGAATACCGCAGCGTGGTGGCCGCACTTGATGTCCGCCAACCATCTTGCGACGTGTGCGTCCGACCATGTACGAAGAAAATCAGAGTAAAACATGCCCGCGGAGAGCTCCATCGCAGTACTGGGCAAGAGAGATGTGGACCCGGTAGACACGGACGCATTGGGTGGGCGTGGCTGGGTATGCGAAGAAGTGGGCGAAGTGGGAGAGGCGGGCCGTGAAGAATCGTCAATTACTTGAAGCACGGCGCCATTGCCCGCAACGACGGCTGTCATGCTGAAAGGCGTAGACACTCAGAGTGCGATTATCCTTATACGCGCCAAAGAGCGATATTGAATCTCAAGGTGGTCAAGCGAGTGGTGACTGCGTATGGATATCGATGTCAGAAAAGCAGACCAGCGCCGCGCATTGCATGCGACAGACAGCCAAGAGACTGAAAGAGAGACTGGGTGCGAGAACGAGGACAAGCTGCGAGACAGATGAAGGAAGACAAGGCGTTGCCATCGAGCGCGGACGTTTGTCACTGCCTGTGGCGGGCCGCTCGCGTGAGACTCACTTGGACATATCGGCCCTGGCTGCACGTTCTTCTGGCCTCTCCCACCACTGACCGTATACTGTACGTTCTCAATATGCTCTGCTAACCAGTGATGCGCCCGGACGAGTTCACCTCTACTGGCACATACTGGCAGCTCTTTTCAGTTCGGAGCCGCCAAGATGCCAACAACATTACATTTACAGCATCACACGGTGATGCTTTGGACGCGACGGGCGTGCGGCGCCGCTCTCCTCACGGCAGATGGGTCACATCGTTCAGAACTCGAACGTGACAAAAGATGAATCCATATGGCATGTCTGACCGCAGTTCTCATCAAAGAATATGATCATAGCAAACGTGAAGGCTGCCGCCGGAAATAAAACGAGCAACCGTGTTACTACAGCATGTCCGCCCGATACGGCGGATCGACCGAGGGGGCAATGGAAATGAGTGGCACTGTCTAAAGGACCATATCCTGGCAGATGGGGGTGGTGGTAACCAGGCGACCTGGTGCAGCTTTGCTTTCAGTCCCGTGCCCGTCCGTTGATCCTGACAAGAAATAACACCATCCAAACGACATACGAGGACCACATGCGACGTGCTGTCGGGGCTGCCTGCCGCCGAGTTGGGCCCTGGTCGGGCCATCCGAGTAGAGCTTGCAAGATTGGATGTGCCTACTTGCGTGGAGTCCGAACTCGGAGCGGACCCAGACAGGAGCTGAAATTACCGCTCACCGAGAACGTCGGCGATGAGGTGGAAACAAGTTCCAGAAGGGTGCAACGAGCGGTACTTAAACCGCTAGAAGGCGTTGTTAGTTAACCCAGCTAAGAGATGTGATGGAAACAGGGCACTAGGCCGGGCGGTTGTTGGACTCTGAGAGAGGTGCACACTGCAGGCGGGGGTGTTGTGATGGGCATGTATGGCGAAAACAAGTGGGCCCGGATGCGGCATGTGTCGGGCACGGGATATGTCTATACATAGCCAGTGCATTCAGGCTCCGCGGCTTGTCTCCGATCAGGGATCTGGTATTACTTAGCCGAATTTGGCTCCGGGGCGGGCTCGGTGCCCGGCGGCAAGGGGAGTGAGTGCAGCGGAGACGGCAGCTCTCGTCGTCCCCGAAGGCTGGCTGTGTCCACCCGGAGCCGCGCCCGCCCGTACCACCACGGCGGGG